CCTCGTCCAGCGGAAGGAAACCACACCACTCGCCGGGAGTGTGGTTCCTCCCGGCGGTGTGACCTCGGCCTCTCTAGGCCGAGGGGGAAAAAAAAGAAAGAAAAAAAAAAAAAAAAAAAAAAAAAAAAAAAAAAGGAAAAATGGGGCCGTCCCATTGTAGGACCCATGCCTGGGTCCTATGGGACGGCCCAGGTCCTAAACGCATATAAATATGCGTTTAGGACCTAATGTTGGGCGTGCAGGCCTGCACGCCAACTGCAGGCCAACTCCCCTGCAGCAGATTGGCGTGCAGGCCCGCACGCCAATCTGCGCCTGGCGTGCGGATTGGCGTGCGCCATGGGGGTTGGCGTGCGGTTATCAACCCCCGTCATAGCTGCCGAGACTTTTGCGGTTTCCGTAGTAATATATGTCGCACTACTCTTTCCTGGGAGTCGGTTCTGAAGTTTTGCAATTATTTGCTCCGTGTAGGTTGGTGAAATAGCCGTGAGTTGTGCAAAGGTTGTTGGAATTTTCAAATGATCTAACTCCTGCAACAGAGCTTCTTCTGGTGTTGCGGCCTTGACCTTATTAACTGGCTTTTCTTTGCTCCATACTTTCTCTACCACAGGTGTTTTAGGTGTTTCCTCCGCAATTTCGGAAATCTCGTCTTCTTGATCCACGTCCATTGCGTCCCTTTCCGGTTCTTGAATCCAAACACTGCGTCTTCCTCGTTGGGCCTCAGATCGAGTAATTGTGTGATTTACTAGAAAATTATCTGCTCCCAGTTGTGGTGGGTCCCAATCAATAGTTTGAGCTGAAGTCTTTATTGTAGTAGGGGTTTGAGTTTTGCCTGTTCTACGGGATTCTGCTAATTTCTTTGCTGCCTCCTGCATTTTGGGGTCTGCTGATGCTGTTGCCACTACTGTCCTAATGGGTCTTGATGGATTCCAGGGTATGTGTTGGCCGTCAGGTAGATACCAGTCCCTGCCAGTACGCTTGACTAATCCTAGATCCTCATCTTGTGCTAGCTCTGGGCATCGGTAAGTTGTCAGCCCTTCCCTCTTGCAGTAATAGCAGGCTTGAGTTTTGTATAGCGGCGTCGAGGGTTTAGCATTTCCCCGCGAGAATTCTGATTTTTCGTTAGATCCGGATTGATTGTACGATACTGGAATTATGCTCTTCAATTGAGACTTGAGTGAAGCAATTTCTCGAGCCATCTCGTCTACCTGTTTATCCATGGCTTTGCCTGTAGGTGCTTCCGCAATCATTTGATCTCTTCGTTGACTGTTTCCTTTCTGTGCGTTCAGTTTATTCTGCATTAATTGATTAGATTCGCCAAATCCTGAGATGTTAAAATATCCGGGTTCCACGATCCGTACTTCCAACCTTGATGCTTCAACCAAGTCTTCCCAGCGTGGTGGTAAGTTGCTTCCATCCGGTCCCTTTGGAAGTAGTTCATAACTAATTAAAGTACGTTTGATATTCATTTGACTTTCCCGCGAGAATGCACTCAAGAAGAGTATTGATGCATCTGACTTCTGATGAATTTGCTTGTTGGTCACTAAGTATTTAAGGATGGTGGTGAATTTTCCTAAGTACAATTTGAATTCCCGATGATCCTTGATTCCGCCATTTACGCCGTATTCTTTGGTGATATCCACTAGGTCGTTGGTTGTGTACAAGATTGTATTATCCAATTCTCCCCAGGTTTCGACCATTTCCTTTCGTAATTTCACCCATTCGCATTTCTCAAACCCGTCCATGGCTTCTAGTTGGATCTTGAGCTCCTCGGTTTTCATGAATCGCCCAATTTGTAACGCCTTGTCGTAGTCTGTTGCATTGAATGCTCTAGCTGCTTGTTCAAACCGCTTCAGGAATGTTCCAAAGTTCTCGCCATCGTAAAACAGTCCGGGTTCATTGATAATCCTTGGTGCGACTTGAGGGATTGGTTGTTGATTTGCTGGTTGTTGTTGTTGTTGTCGATTATACACTGGCTCATCTGCATTCTGGGTGTTGTGAAGCCCATATCCAGACAAGGGAGGTAAGTTTTGTTTTTGAGGTGTAATGTCGCCTGAATCTGAGTCCTCCTCCGTTATATCTTGTATTTCACTTGCTTTTCCCTTTCCTTTATCCTTCGGTGGTGGCAATGTAGTTTCCGTATTCCAATTGAAAGTTGAAGATGATCCTGAAGGTTGATCAAAAATTCGGTTCCTAAAAGGGGTTAATGGTGCAAATCCGTCTTCCAAATCTGGTGTGCTGAACGGTAGACTCATGTTGATTTTGATTGATTTTCCTAGTTTTCCTTACTTGACGCTCCTTCGATACCTAAACAAACGGTTGCTCTGAAAAAGAAACAAATAATACTTTGGTCGCTGGTTTCTTTACCAGGGCAAGCTTATAGTCTTCTTTAAAAATAATAGATCAGTTAACACTGGGAAGTTCTTCTTTTACAGAACCTACTTATCCAAATTCCTTGGGTACCTTTGCCCTTCTTTTGGTATCTAAGCAGCTGCTTTCTTTGAATAGTTCCTGAGTTGTCTTCAAACAGTATCCTAGTTATCCAGATCCTTCGGTCTCTTGCCTTCTTCTGGTCAATAACTGGCTGTCTTCTTCGAGTCCTCGTTTCAGTTGATTCCTACGCTTTCTTTTCAGAGGTTGGTTGTTTATGTCGTTGAATTGTTATTGAAGTTTGACTAGTTGATCAACAGAATAACTGAATATGCCGCTGAGTTGTCCAAATTTGTTTGATGAATTCGTTCCGTTTTACCGCTAGAAGTAATGATCCTTTGTCGATGTCTTTGTTGATTTCTTCTTCTTTCGTTTAGAATCGGTTATACGATGTCACTCAAAGGTTATCCTATCACGTTGGGGACTCCCTTGTAAGACTCAAAAGTGGTTGTGAAACCCTTTTGCTGAATGGAGAAGGGGATGATGGAGTTGCAAGCTCTGCCCTTCTATGCTATCAGAACAACAAGACCACCAAGCTCAGCTTGGCAGTTTATATATCGTGATAGAGGATAGTTCGAGATGAAGCTGTCGAATGATTCGTATAACGGTTAAAGGTGTTGATGGTGATTGTTGATGATGATGTTGTTGTTGATGTTGTTGTTGATAGAGGTGTCAATGATTGTGGTCGAGGTTGAGGCTTGAACGCAGGTCCTTGAGGTTGAGGGTATATAAAGTTAAAAAGAGGTGATTTGGAACCAAGGCGCTGGGCGCTGGGAGCACTATGCTTCAACCAGGAATGGAACAGGGGACTGGGCACTTGGTATGATGATGATGATGTGAAAGTGTTATGAATATATTGCGATAAAATAAGGGTGGTTATATAACTGTGACCTGTAATATAATGGGTGGTAATTGTAAGGGTGGTTGAGATGATCTGGTCCACTGGTGGGATGATGAAAGGTACAACTGGCAGGCAGAGGCCTCCTTATATAGACAAAAGTGAGGGATTTTAGCTCCAGGGTACATGCAGGTGAGGGAATTTAGCTGGCCTGAAAATCCAATGAGGGAATTTAGCTAGTCTAATACATGCAGGTGAGGGAATTTGGCTGGTGAGAGCACTGCCTTGAGGGATTTTGGCTAGCCTACAAGGTCCTACTACAAAGGAATGCATGTGTACCTACAAAGGAATTCAATATGAAATATAAGCCAGTAAAGGAATTCAATATGAAACAAAGGAATTCAATATGAAATATGCATCCAGTATTCAAAATGAGACATGGTCAGGATAATAATAAAGAAAAGCTCCAGTGACAGCTTGAGATAAGTGTAACTTCTGAACTAGTAGAGATAAGAGGGTAGTTGTAGTGAGTGACTAGGGGTTATTTTACCTCAGGAATCCATTTTTGATGTTATTTTTACCCTATCTTCAATATTTAGAGACATAATAATAAATTTTTATATTTTTGGTGTAGAAACACAGGAATAATTACCACAACGTTTCCTCCATTTGGGATGGAAGAATTTTGCAGCCACAGGTGCTATCTCAAATGGTCAGGAAGGAAGCACAAATTTCACAGATGGTGAAACACCAATCAAAAATAAATTCTCACCTTTTTTCAATGTAGCTACATCCACCTCAATGGCTCCAACCCAGACATCACTTTTCCTTTTAATCAATCCACTCTCTTTGGACTGGATCAACGGTGGGACAGTTACACTAGCTGTAGTGTTAATGCAGTTTAGTGTTAGCTTTTTAAGCTACACTACAAAAAATTTAATTTTAGTGGAAATTTTGGCCCACTAACACTACAGATTTTTTGAAAAACAAAAAACTTTAGTGTAGTGTTAGCTGACTTGGAAAAAGTCCAACTAACACTAACCAAAAACCTTGTTAGCACAATTGTAGTGGTGTTAGTGGTTGAAACCACTACACTACATACCAACGTAACCTTTGATGTGACTCAGCATTTCTGAGGTTGTGAGTTCAAATCTCACCAGGCACATCCTCCATTTGTTTTTCTCTACATCTTGTGCTGTTCATTTTCTGCGGGATTGTGTGAGATGATAGGACATTGAAAATAGTCACTATGGACCTTGGCCATAGAAGTCATATGGACAGTTCACACAAGTTGTCCATTGAAAACAGAAAGCAGAGGAAGAGGTTTAAAAAGCATAAATTCTCACTTGATACATCAATTTCTCTAATTGAAGAGTTACACTATGCTATGTAGTGTAAATTCTACTGTAGCATAGCTTAACAAGGCATGTAGTTTAGTTTAGTTTAGCTTAACTTGGTATAAGTTCTGGTAAATTTTAGCGTCAAATCAGTTACACTATCTGACAGTCAAAATTTTGTTAGCACAAAAAACGTTTCACTACCAGTTAGTTTAGCTGAGATTATTTGAAGCTAACACTAACAAAAAATTTACACTACGCTAACAGTTAGTTCAGTGGGGTTTAGCGTGAGCTAACACTACAGAATTTTCAGGGAAAGAAAGCCACTATACTAACAGTTAGTGGTCAAATAGCGTAGCAGCCCACTTCTTCTTGGATCTTGAATTAAAATCTTGCCAGAAGTATCTTCATGCAGTGGATGACTTCCTGTCGGTATTTACGACCCTCAAAGAATTGGATTTACACCATGAAGGTCTTAATTTTTGGCAAAAAGAAATCTTTCTTCAGAAGCCTTGAGTAAAGGCCCTCATGTGAGCTAGTTGAGGTTGTGATTAGAGTGTTAATTTAGAACTGAGAGAGCTCTGAAAAACACTCTAAACCGTGACGGGAAGTCCTCCATTGTCTGCATTAATTAGATCAGATTTTGAATTCAAGCAATTGGTCCAGACAGGATAAACCAATGGCCTGTTTTTTGGGTTTTCTGCTGTTGTATTTGTTCAAGTTGTGATCTAGCATTGTTGAAAGAATTTGAAGACTGAAGATTTTATTTCTTAATAAGTTAAATGATTTATAATGAAAATACAATTTTTATAAATAAAAAGATAAAGAAATGATTGAGTTATTACCTGAAGGCAGAATAAAACTCTGCAAAGATAATAACACTTATAAAAGAATAAGAGATAAAAGTTTGTCGAGTAAGAGTGGTAATAAGCTAATGACCAAAAAGACAAACTTAATTAGTTCTTATCTTATTTGACATTTCTTTATTTAATAAGAATTACTTTACTATTGTTAGATCAATTGATCCGGTAAAGAATAATTCTAATTCGGTGATTGACTTTTGTTTAATGTTTCTAAACATTGAACAGAAAAGTCAAAAACATTAATTTATGATTTTATTACTTTTTTATTCTCTTTTCTTAATTATAAGAAAAGGCCTTTTTACTCACCGGTCTTAGGTGGAGAAATACGATTGATGAGTCGTAAGCGGCTTGAGGAGAGTTGATGAAAGCTGAAGATAATGATTTTGTTAAGGAGAGAATGATAAAATCGTCAACAAATGTCTATTTCAAATTCCTTTGATCACAATCATCAATACTCACTGAGAGTTTGATGATCGATGATCATCATCATCTAAAGCTATGACATCATTGATGCAAACTCCTGAATCACAAGCTTTAAGCTTGGCATTCGCATGCTCATCTGCAGAACAGCTAGTTTCTGTACATGATCAAATATTAATGATCAGTACGATGATTCACTCTAGGAAGTTTATACTTTAAAGTATAACTTACCCGAGGCTCTCCTCTTTTGAGGGCTAGACTTAGGAATTGAATTCCAACAATTGTTAGTTTACATAATCCATGACAGTATCTACAGCTTGCCAAGGTGACCAGGGGGTACATTTGCCCTATTAGGACATTCACACACCAGTTCAGAGCCTGAATTTAGCCAGATAATCCATTCCAATGTAAGAATTTTGCACAGTAGTAACTGTGCAAGGTGCACACAACAGTGTGCCGCTATGCTACACTACGCTAAAGGGCCACTTAGCATTAGTGTAGCAGCACTAAAAGGGGTCCTTTTTCTGTAGTGTTAGCGTTGTGGAACTTTTCAAGCTAAAGAAAAGAGCTTAGAGGGGAAAAGAACAACTACACAGGGGAAAATGTGAGTTGAAAACTTGGATGCTGATGAAGCTGCCCTCTTGTCAAGGCTTGGGAGAGAGTTACACTAAGAATTAAAGAAAAGGTGTAGCTATTTCTGTGGGTAATCTTAGTATGAGATTTATTACTGATGTCTTGTACAAGTAACCTGCTGAGAGATTGAGGATGTGGGGGATTCTGTTAGCAATGAGGCTCTGGGGGGTAGTGATTTCTGGGTTCAATTTCTTATCTTCTGGGGGAAAATCAATAATAATTACTTCTGGTAGCTACTAGTAAGTGATTTCTGCTAAGTAATTATCTGTTTACTTCTCTAATGCAAGCATGGGGAACAAAGTAAGTGGGAAAGAGTATTCTCTATATACATGTGGGTGGTTCTGATCAGATACTAGTGGTAAGATATCAGCTGAAGTAAGAAAATGGTATGAAATAAGTTGTATCTGAAAGACAATTGGTTATGAAATAAATGTGGCTGACAAGTGCGTAGTGTGAAATAAACATGCTGAAAAGGAGAAAATATGAAATAACTTCTTTTTGTGATAAAAATAATATGTAGTGCAAAAGAAATGAGATAATAAGGACTGAAATAAATATTCTGAGGTGAGATGAGAAATCTGTGTGGTGAAATATATATGTAGGTGATATAAGCAATGAGTAATGAGTTGAAATGAAATGGATATATGAAAGATTTGTAGTATGAAATAAATGTAGAACAAAATAAATGCAGTATGAAATAAATTTGCTATGAAATAATTGTAGTATGAGATAAT